AGTAAAAGTTTATAGCGTTGCAGCAGGAGTGTGATAACCTGTTAGCAGCTGGGTGAGAGTTTCCATGACTCCGAGCGTCTGAAGTCTGAGCCTCCTCACAGAGAGATAATGGCCTCCATGTTTCTGAGCTGCTCCGGGCGCTGGGTTGTTTGAGCAGTGGTTCTCAACGAGTGGATGTGCGAGTCTGCCTTTTTATTTAATACAAGACAAATATGCCTTTATTTAATACAGTTCCATTTTGATTCTAGAAACTTGATGACCATCATTTAAAAAGCATACTTTAGTTCTGTGAAGGGATATATTCTGCCTTGCATGGCACTAACAATGTTGTGGTTTTGTTCCCATAGAATAGAATATATCTTTATTGTCATCATACAAAGTACAACAACATTTCTTTGGGAACTCTCACTGCAGACTACATTTACTGAAAATGTATGTGCTGTTCTTCACTTTACTTTAAAGTGGATGCTGAGAAGCTTATATTTTACTAAGAAGAATTGAAGGGATGAACCCCTCTCTAATGGTCACACATGCAGAGCACACACAGTGACATGTGTTCTCTGCTTTTAACCCATCCTAGCACCAGGAGTCTAGCACTAGGAGCAGTGGGCAGCTATTGTACAGCGCCCGGTGAGCAATGGGAGTGAGGGGGGAAGGGGATTGTCCGGTGCCTTGCTCAAGGGCACCACGGCAGGGCAGGAGGTGAACTGGGACCTCTCCAAGTAGCAGTCCACACTCCATATTTAGGTCTGGTCGGGGACTTGAACCGGCGACCCTACGGCTCTCAGTCCAAGCCCCTACGGATTGAGCCGCTGCACTATTTTTGGTGAAATAGATGTGAGTGGTTCAGACCTTTGGGTCGTGATTTATTGACGAAGAAAAAGAGTGGGTCCTGAGGCCGGTTGAGAACCACTGGTTTAGACTTTAGAGCACACAGCTGTCATCACCCGAGTGTTTTTACCCAACATGTGTCCTGATGCTGGTTCACTATCAGTCTGCTTTTACATTTGGCTTTCAGGTGTTTTCAGATCAAAGTCTTTCTTTGTCTGAATAGAGTTTTGTGTCTCAGTAAATGTGAAAATTAACATAAATATATGCTTTTACAATTTGTCCTCTTCAAAGGGAAGACTGCAGTGCTTTTGTTTTCGGTCCTTTGATCATAAAGCACTAATTTCACTTCTGATGTAAGTGTTTAAATTCAGTACATCATACATAGTGCATGCAAACACGGCTACAGACTGATCAGATGGGGGGTGCTACACTGATTTAAAACTTCCTTTTTCAAACCATTTTTAGCAGGCTGGGTCTGTCAGTCTTACAACTAAAGCTTGACTTCAAATCTTGCAATAAGTAATGGATGCAGTGTTTCCCCTATATAGAAATAGCGCAGCTATATATTATTAATAAAAATAAATGGTGACCCTTTTTCGTTTTTGATTGTTTTTGATGGGTGTATTTCTGTTAAATCTTGAGACATTGCCACTGTATGTACTGGCAGGGCCGATTTTTTACATAGGCGCTGTAAGTGATGAAAGTGGGGGATGTTGGCTTATCAGAGAGATACAAAAATATGCATAAATTAATACATCTTAACTGGTAAAATAAGATATAAATGAACAACAAAAATCAAATAAGTTACATGTATTTGTTATTGGCGATGGTAGGTTATTGGTTATGTTCACATACTTATTTGATTATTAAAATGTAAACCGATCCTTTTCATATGGGTGTTTTAGAGTTGTACCCCCTAGATCAGGTCTCTAGTGATTGTGTGCTCAAAGTGCACCAGATTGAAGCATTTTACTTTAAAATGTTCAATCTTCCCGGGGGGACATACCCCCGGACCCCCCTAGAGGATGTGACATCCACCCCCCAATTCAAACATGTTCATACAATACTGAATACATTTGAAGCCATGTTGACGTATATCACCTATGTCAATACGTTTCTGTATTTGTTGTGTATTTGTCTTTTGTAGAGATTTTTCATTTATTCTTTATAAATTCTCGCCTAGGGCATCAAATAGTCTAGAACCGGCCCTGGTGCTAGGCCTCAAGAGCCTTTCTTGTGCTGACACATAGAAACAAATTGGCGGGGCGCACTTCGCTCGCGCACACACTCAAAAATTCCACGCACTCCGCACTCACATAATGCTGGGCCTTAGCACCACTGCTATGACTCCATCCTAGGGGAAACACTGGGATGTATTGCAATTTGACGGTATATTCATGGTCTCCAGAGGATGAATCCTACCAACTTCAGCTGGCATTTGAAACTTTCATTATCTCAGGATTTGATTGGATTTCCATTCTTGGAATTACAATGTTGCTCTTAATAATTCCTCATTTAGTGTGCAGGGGTGCACAGTGCAGCATAGTGGAGTAGGGGTACGCTTTTTCTATTTGCTATGACAGAAACCCCCAAAAAGACAAATCCTGAGACAAAAGCAAACATTTATTTATTTTACTACCGTTTTTGAATATTTCTCAGTGAGTTCAAGATTGTGTTTTTATATTTAACTCGTTTCTGAAGCAGCTGCGTGTTTCTCCGAATGGAAGGACCGTTGTTGCACGTTTGCCCCGGTCAGCCATCGTTGGAATAAAGCACCACTTAAATATTAAACCTTTGTTGAATAGAGAATGACGATCCCTTAGTTCTTGTAAAGCATGATTCATTTTGTCCTTTGATCGTGTGTGTGTGTGTGTGTGTGTGTGTGTGTGTGTGTGTGTGTGTGTGTGTGTGTGTGTGTGTGTGTGTGTGTGTGTGGTGTGTGTGTGTGTGTGTGTGTGTGTGTGGTGTGTGTGTGTGTGTGTGGTGTGTGTGTGTGTGGTTGTGTGTGTGTGTGTGTGTGTGTGGTGTGTGTGTGTGTTGTGTGTGTGTGTGTGTGTGTGTGTGTGTTGTGTGTGTGTGTGTGTGTGTGTGTGTGGTTGTGTGTGTGTGTGTGTGTGTGTGTGTGTGTGTGTGTGTGTGTGTGTTGTGTGTGAAAGAAGAGCGAGAATAGGCTAAAGCAGAGCAATTGTAAACTTTATGGAGCTGCTTTACCCCGGGTTTGAAGCGAGCGTGACTCAAGTGTTTACTTTTGTCTCGCCATGTAAAGGAGCATTGAAAGGCAAACACATTCGGTCAACAACAGCGCAGCTTTAGTGTTCTGTCAAATTGAAAATAAATGTTATGAAAACAAACATCTTTTGAAAAACATCACTATTTCCAGAACATGGTTTGTTAGTGGTACATAGAGGTATTAATGCAAATAGGTGAAGACATTTCAAGGTGTGTGTTCTGTTTAATGAAACTGTAATTTTCCATGTGGAGACCATTAAATGAACGTATACAGCCATAAGAATGTATGAGAATACAGCAAATTAGGTGTTTACACATTAACATAACATGCTTTTAGGGGTTCCCCTTTTCCTTTAGTGTGTTCTATATGTTTTAGTGCATGTAAATGGGCTGCAAAGGCTAAAATGTTGTTGTCAGTCTCACAAATGTAGATATTCAGCTTTTTTCTATATTATTTCATTTCAAAATCAGGCTGCACAAATAGGTTACATGTGTTTTATTCTGCGATACATTGGTACTCAGGCAGAGTATTCTTTCGTTAGTTAATACAGTCAATACATTTAAAAGCTTCACTTTAACTGTAACTATGCCTTTGGATGTTTAGCTCAATTTGTTGAAATAAAAGAATATATTTATAATTCAGCAAGCAGTGCACGAAACGCATGAAAATGGCAAAACTAAGTGCACTGAATAACTTTCTAATTGATATCCTTATCATGGTGTTTACCAACGTATCACAAATTCTCCTCATATCAAGGAGCTCTTTATTAAACTGAATAGTTTTTTTTGGACAAAACCAAAGACTTTAGCGGACTTTTCAAACAGTTTAAAAAATATATTATAATTCGCTCTCAGAGCCCTTAATCTTCTCTTCCTCTTCCCTCCCTGCAGTCTGCGGCCCCACTATTTAAGGGATATCTTTATCATGGTTTTTACTAACGTCATTACAAATTATCCTTATATCAAGGAGTTGTTTTTTTTTCATCATCCTTAGGCGCTTTCACACCGGAGTACTTTTCCCAGGAATAGTTCCGATAGTTCCTGGGATTTTGCGTTCACACCAAAAAGATCTGGAACTAGAACTTTTTTTTGCAAACCTTTGTAGTCCCTGCTAGAGAGGGGGTACTTTCCTGGGGAGAAAAAGGTTCCAATTTCTGATTGGCTGGGCGAATTGCAAACCACGCCCCGTAAAACTCTGAAAAGTTTTTGTGAAGCCGCCATTTTATTTGCTTGCATTAGCATTATTCGCATTAGCATTAGCCCCCGCGCACCAACGGAGAGAGACTAACTTACAGCAACACAAAATAAAACATGGGAGCGGTGGAGATGAGGAGGTGTCGGCGTTTCTGGGCGATTTACTCAGAAGTAAATCGCCCAACTTCGGGGACTTCCTGCCGGGGGACTTCGGGTGGCAGGATACGCCGTGAAGTGGTTTGGCGGCCTGCCAGTAAACCCAAAGCAGAAGAAAGGAGGAAGTGGACGTCAGCGGCTCCCTCAGGGACTTATTCCGGTTGCGATTTACTAGATAGTTCCAGGAATTCAAAGTTCCGGGAACTATTCCTGGGAAAAGTACTTGGTGTGAAAGCGCCTCTTGACTTTAGTGGACTTTTCAAACTGTTCTTTTTGACATTTTTCATACTAAACTGCCTTGACCGTATTGTTCTTGTATTCTTATGGTAATGTTGTATTGTTTTGTGAGTGTTCTGTTCAATGTATCATAGGTCCAAGTTATAGTCACTTTATATATTATATATTCAAAGTTTTAGCTTGTGTTATACAAAATGATACTTATACTGTCTGGGAATGCTTGGAATTTGGCTTTACTCTGTGTAGTGACAATAAAGGAATCTAATCTGAACAAATACTCGATGAATCCAGAAACGATCCTAATATTCGCCCTCACACCCTCATAATCTTCTCTCTGTCTTCCCTTCCTGCAGTCTGTGGCCCCAGCATCGACATCGGGAACGACATCAGTGAGTTCAGGCGTCTGGAGAACTGCACGGTGGTGGAAGGATACCTGCAGATCTTGCTCATCGGCGACAAAAACAACAACAACATCAACCAGGAGTTCTTCCGCTCGCTCAGCTTCCCAAAGCTCACCATGGTCACCGACTACCTGCTGCTGTTCCGCGTCTCCGGCCTCGACAGCCTCAGCACGTTGTTTCCAAACCTCGCCGTCATCCGTGGGCGAAACTTATTCTACAACTACGCCCTGGTGATCTTCGAGATGACCAGTCTGAAGGACATCGGGCTTCTCAACCTGAGGAACATCACGAGAGGCGCCATTCGGATCGAGAAAAACCCCGAGCTCTGCTACCTGGACTCTGTTGATTGGTCTCTTATTCTGGACGCCGAGTTCAACAATTACATCGCCGGGAACAAACAGTCGAAGGAGTGCAGCGATGTTTGTCCGGGCATCATGGAGAACAGCCCTCAGTGCAGCAAGACCATGTTCAACAACAACTACAACTACCGCTGCTGGAACTCCAACCACTGCCAGAAAGGTAAGAGGCCGTCGTCACACTCTTTGTTGTCTGAATAGAGTTTTCGGTCTCAGTAAAGGGAAGATGCCCCTCGTAATGGGGTGGCCTGGGGCTGGGTTGGGTACATTGCGACAGTTTGACTTATTTGTGTAGGTTTATTGATTTTCCTTTGGGGGTGTCAGTCAGGTCTCTCTCCTGACATTTAAGATTTGAATAGTCACAGTTGAGTAAGTCGGTACTGCACAAAGGTGTATACAACTCATAGCAAAACACCCAACATTGAATGACATTAGAAAAGATATAACTCAAAATGATTCTGTATCACGAATATATTTCAAATATCCCACAAAACAAACCCAACAGTTCACAATTAAATCCAAAGAGGTCTCACTCACTCATTTAACTTCTGATGAACGTGTTTAAATTCAGTTCATCATGAAAACACTGCTTGACCAAGAATCAACACGACACTGTTTAAAAATGCCCCTTTGTGTTAGTTGGAAACTCTCCAGCTGTCATCACGATCCTCACCATCGGGGCCTTTTCCCCAAACGTGTCCTGATTGCTGGTTCACAATCAGAGCCTGTTTTGACATTTGGCTTTCAGGTGTTTTCAGATCAAAGTCTTTCTTCGTCTGAATACAGTTTTGTGTCTCAGTAAATGTCAAAGTGAACATAAATATGTGCTTTTATACTTTGTTCTCTTCAAAGGGAAGAGAGCGTGCTTTTGTTTTCTGTCCTTTGAATCAGAAAAGCACTCCTTTCACTTCTGATGTGAGTTTACATTCAGTCCATCATCGTGCAGCAAACACTGCTCTGGACTTCACCAAGACTCAAAGCTACACCGGTCTTTAGCACTTCATGTTTAAACATTTTGGTTGAGTCCAAACTTAGAAGTTTACAACAGCTAACCGATATATTGCCAATTTACTAGAGGTGGGAGAAGTACTCTAGTACTTGAGTAAAAGTAGAAGTACTCGGATCTTGTACTTGAGTAAAATTAGAAGTACTCGGATCTTGTTACTTGAGTAAAAGTAGAAGTATAAGTACTCAGATATTTTTACTTGAGTAAAAGTAGAAGTACTCAGGTCTTGTTACTTGAGTAAAAGTACCTCAGGTCTTGTACTCGAGTATAAGTAAAAGTACTCAGATCTTGTACTGAGTAAAAGTAGAAGTACTCAGGTCTTGTACTTGAGTAAAAGTACTCAGGTCTTGTACTCGAGTAAAAGTAGAAGTAGAAGTACTCAGATATTTTACTTAAGTAAAGGTAGAAGTACTCGGGTCTTGTACTTGAGTAAAAGTAAAAGTACTCAGATCTTGTACTTGAGTAAAAGTAGAAGTACCTCAGGTCTTACTTGAGTAAAAGTAGAAGTACACAGATCTTTGTACTTGAGTGAAAGTAGAAGTACACAGATCTTGTACTTGAGTGAAAGTAGAAGTACACAGATCTTGTACTTGAGTGAAAGTAGAAGTACACAGATCTTGTACTTTAGTGAAAGTAGAAGTACACAGGTCTTGTACTCCAGTAGAAGTAGAAGTACACAGATCTTGTACTCCAGTAGAAGTACACAGATCTTGTACTTTAGTAGTAGAAGTACACAGGTCTTGTACTCCAGTTGAAGTAGAAGTACACAGGTCTTCTACTCCGGTCGAAGTAGAAGTACACAGATCTTGTACTTGAGTGAAAGTAGAAGTACACAGATCTTGTACTTGAGTGAAAGTAGAAGTACACAGATCTTGTACTTGAGTGAAAGTAGAAGTACACAGATCTTGTACTTGAGTAAAAGTAGAAGTACTCAGATCTTGTACTTGAGTAAAAGTACTCAGATCTTGTACTTGAGTAAAAGTAAAAGTACTCAGGTCTTGTACTTGAGTACAAGTAAAAGTACTCAGGTCTTGTTCTTGAGTAAAAGTACTCAGGTCTTGTACTCGAGTAAAAGTAGAAGTAGAAGTACTCAGATATTTTACTTAAGTAAAGGTAGAAGTACTCGGGTCTTGTACTTGAGTAAAAGTAAAAGTACTCAGATCTTGTACTTGAGTAAAAGTAGAAGTACTCAGGTCTTGTACTTGAGTAAAAGTAAATGTACTCAGATCTTGTACTTGAGTAAAAGTAGAAGTACACAGATCTTGTACTTGAGTGAAAGTAGAAGTACGCAGATCTTGTACTTGAGTAATAGTAGAAGTACACAGATCTTGTACTTGAGTGAAAGTAGAAGTACACAGATCTTGTACTTGAGTAAAAGTAGAAGTACACAGATCTTGTACTTGAGTGAAGTAGAAGTACTCAGATCTTGTACTTGAGTAAAAGTAGAAGTACTCAGATCTTGTACTTGAGTGAAAGTAGAAGTACTCAGATCTTGTACTTGAGTAAAAGTAGAAGTACACAGATCTTGTACTTGAGTGAAAGTAGAAGTACACAGATCTTGTACTTGAGTAAAAGTAGAAGTACTCAGATCTTGTACTTGAGTAAAAGTAGAAGTACCAGAGTGTAGGAATACTCTGTTACAGTAAAAGTCCTGCATTCAAAATGTTCCTCAAGTAAAAGTAGAAAAGTATTCTCATTCTAAATATAGTGAAAGTAGCGACAGTGAAAGTAGTCATTGTGCAGATTTGTCCTTTCAGAATAATATATATGATATGTTTTATAATGATTGTAATAGTTGCAAATAGAAGGTGCAGACAGTCCAGCCTTCGACTGGTTGTGGGATCTGTGAAGTGCGGCTGTGTCCTGAAACCTGTCACTTTACGGCTTTAGATGTTGTGGTTTGGCTGCGAGGAAAGAGGCAAAGCTTCATTACGTACTTGTGTTCAGGTCTTTGCTGTTTTGTATCTCCCAAGTTAAGAGTAGAGGAAGGAAGGAAGAGCAACATGGAGGTATCAGTCGAGGCTGCAATTCACCTCAGAATACGTTGTTGTCGAGCGTGTTTTATTGTCTGCCCAGATGTCAACGTCTGAGATGAGGATATTTATGTACTTTCCACATTCTCACTTTGCATCAGGGTTTCAGGCAAATATCGGTAACCCTTAAGCTCACAGGGTGGCACGTATCTGGTTTCCACTAAAGTGAAATGTAAATATTTTCCCAGCTTAAACAAAAGTAAGTAAATGCTCCAGAGTTTAATTAAAGTATGCAGAATGAACAGTGAGTGTGAACTGGCCCTTTGATATCGTGCTTACGACTGGCTGAATTGTTTCCCTGGTGACTGGCGCCTTGCTGCAGACTCGGCATGTTGATGTTTCAGTCTTGTGATATGGAAACTGTCGCAGGACCGGCCTCGATTGCATGTACACACACACACCACACACACACACACACACACACACACACACACACACACACACCACACACACACACACACACACTGCTCTGTGGGTGGTTGGAGTGGCAGAGTGGTGGGCATGCTGGGGAAAAAAAATAGGAGGTGGAATATGTTGGAGGAAGACATGGGGGGGGGGTCAGGTAAAGGTTTCATTTCCACCGTCAGCAGGAAAAACACCAGAGAGTCCACAATATACTCAATATATCAATATATCTGGAGGAGGAAGGAACAGGGATTTTAGCCTTACAGACCATTTACATGCACTAAAACATGTATGACACACTACAGGTAAGGGAAAACCTCAAAAAGCAGAACAGGGCCCCTTTAATACGCTCCCACCCCTGACGTTTGACAAGCCTTTACATGCGACAAGTCCACCAATAACAACCAGCAACTGTGACGAATAACACCATTTACATTCATTTGACTCTTTATGTGACCATTAGTGTTATTCGTATCATCACTTCAATAAGCAGCAATCCCAAATATAAGCTACTAAAACTGGACATGAAGTTCTTTTATTAATATTATTATATAAATGTATATAAAGTGCGAGTCTGACTTGGTGTTGTTTTGGGATCTAATCTGACTATTAATGATAATATTGATGAATATATCAATATGTGGTACCAGCACAAGGCCATCGCTCTGTGTTGAGTCTAAACTACAAACATGTTGTTTTTCACGGAGCCGGGTGCTGAAGGAAAGGAAATAGATTTGGATATTATTTGTATATGGCCTGCGCTAGTAGTTCTTGTAATAACCGGCTCCCGTGCAAACAGCTGCTGCTCCTGCGGTTTCTCTTACTACTGAGTCAACTACTGAGCCCTCTGCTGATCACGTATCTAACTGTTCATCAGAGACTGCACTGACCTCACCACCTTCAAAGAACTCACAAAAACTCACCTCTTCAATCTGGCTTTTAATGTGTGATTGGTTTTGTATTATTTGACTTTAACTATATATTTATTTGTTCTTTTCTTTTCACTATATCTGTAAAGCGTCTTTGAGCACCTGTAAAAGCGCTAACAAATGAATCTATTATTATTATATTACTTCTAATCCTCCAGCTATTACCACTACAGTTTATTTTAATTGGGCATGAGACGATATAAATAGGTCGTTATGTGATGATCCTGTCCAAATAAATGCCATTAAAGATGCTATACCTAATACAACTATTACACTTTAACTAAAATATACTGCAATCACTTTATTTTGCATGCAATTAGGTTGGTGGTGTAAAAATCAATCTTATGTAATTAGGGGTGGGCGATTATGACGATATAGGTCTCCACGATATTAGGTCTCACGATATGCCTTTTCAGAGATATCATATCTATCCGTGATACAGAGAGTGAGTGAGTGCTGCCAGTGCAGCGAGGTGCACCAAGGGTAGGATTTTCACGGCGGCCATGACGGCCATGCCACCATGGCCTGCGTTCCCCTGATACTGTTAAAATCTCGAAGTTGCTTTAAAAGCGTCAGACAGTGGTTTCTGAACTGCGTTATGCTGCGTTCACAACAGACGCGATGCGAATTATTCTCACCCTAACCGCTGGAGTTTCACCGCGGCTGTCAGCTGTGTTTACTCCTGTCACTCAAACAGGACGCGCTGGAGAGGGGGCGGGGCTTATATCCATGTAAATACTGTGGTGGAAACCAACTACGACAAAATTAACCTATTTTACTGTGATTTAATTGTAATACACGTTTCAAACTGATGCCGAAGTAACTACATACTGATCACGGTTAGTAAAAAAAACAAGCCGTCAGGAATCAGACAGTATTGCACTTCATTTATTGTCTTGGTTGATTCTGTTGGCTTGTATTTTATTTGATCAATAATATTTATATTGTTTTTCCCTTTTGAAACAGATGTTCAGTTATGCTAAAGTCTTTGATTGCACTTGAAGTCTAAAGTTTACATTTTAATTGTTTGGCACTGACTTTTCCTCATTGCTGTTTTATGTTTTACTGAGTTATGTTTTACTCTCCTTTTCCTGTGTATTGATGTTACATCACTGCTAGTGCTGGCTGGCCGAAAAACAGAAAGTGCATTTTTATACTGAGAAACTGTGCCTGAATATTTTCTTTTATTTAGCAAGAGAGTGCACTTTACTTGGTGAAGAAACCAGTGTTAACGTTTGTTGTAGGGTGTAGGCCTGCTTGAACACTGAGGAAGCCATATCAACATTCCTGTTGGATTGTTCATTCAGGGATTCACTGCAGAATCAAAACCA